CCAACACGTGATATACACGTATTGACTGTCGTAAATATCGCGAGAACAAACGAAGCGCAAAAACTCGATTGTGTAAGTTGTGAGCGAACGATTCGAAATATATCACAAGTGTCGCCTTCGATTAAGGTTTCCGGCAATGTGTACATTGAATAAATTCTGCGTTTTATTGAGATTGTTCCGAACACATTCATAATTGAATACTTTAATGTTAAGACCGAGCGTGTGTCCCGTCCTATAAATAATAAGACCCACTCGGCCTGATTTATGTATCGATTTCAAGATTTCGTCAGATCAGTATTGAATATGAGCGATAATGAATATTGAAGAAAAATATAGTTCACAACGAAGAGTTGTTTAATCATTAAATATTATAAGGTCGATTATTGGGCCCTGTCTGCCCATTCGCCTAAATGTTTGAAATAACTTGATGACTTTGATACAGTTATCAACAATGAAGAATAGTAGGGAAACGTTAGCGTTTTATGATCAAGTCGTAAAAATCGCACTGATAATACTACACGGACGACACGTATCCGTGCGAATCCGGAACACGTCGCTAGTAAAATTGTTTTAGTACATGCGCAAGAGTTGGCAAAGTGATAAAAATTAATGCTGTTTTACACTAAATAATTCTTTTTTTATGCTGAAAAAATGCCACTTTTCTTAAATCGTACGACAACCAGGGCGTCGTTTGTACTGAACTAAGCACCCTTTTTGCATTTTATGTTTGTAGGGATAGCACTATATCTAAAAAAAAGGTTAAACCTTTCTTTAAATTTAAATAAATACTTTCTACGTGGTAGAGCCACGCTGCAGCTATATTATGGTTGCAGCACGAATGGGTCGGCTCGACCGGGGTAGGACCACGCTCCCACAGAATACCAGCGTAAAATAGTAGCTTAATGCTGCTGTGCTTCGTATGGTGAGTGTAGAGAACCGGAGACCCGTTTTACTGGAATCGAGGCATTCCATCTTAGTCCTCAGGGTGACAACGCATCTACATTTTGATTCTTAATCGAAGTTAAATTGTAGATGTCTATGGGCTACAGTATCCACTTACCATCAGGTGGACTATGTGCTCGTTTGTCATCCATATTTTATAAAAAAAAAACATAATGCCTTTAAACGACTTTTTTACATTTACGCTTCACTGTTCTTTCTTAATTTGAGCTGTAAGAATTTATTGTGTACAAACCTATTGGTGCGGTTAGCTTCAAGTACAGTATAGACTCCTAGGCACGTTATGAGTCCTACCACGTAATCAAAGTTTGTACTACACTATGGACTCGCTAATCCAAACCTCAGCTCAGGCATTTGGATTAAATGCCTCTATAATTCCAAAAATCCCTATTTCGCGCATCGACACTCTGTAGTACCAGTGACTTACATTACGTAAAGTACAAGTCACGAAAGATCTCCTAACAAAGAATCTTAATTTTTCAAAAAGTATAATAAAATGCATAAAACCATAAACTATAAAATAATATTATATCCTTTATTTTTTTAAATATTATACTGTTATTAAATTACATATACCAAAAAGCTAACTCTTAAAACTGGACCCCTCTGTCTTGTGGTCCTATGTGGTCTATGGTGCCGTTTCGGAAACCTGCTTGCTCGGGAGGCTGGAAGTCGTTAAGTCTGCGTGCGAGAACAGTACGTAGAAGCGGCTCAGAAAGGTAACCGGTCTGTAGTTCTTCAAGAGAGCGTTGTCTTTTCTTGAAGAACAAGACCATTGAACTTCTGCTCTACGCCTCTGAAGTAGTACGAATATGGAGGAGGGAATTGAAGAGCTTCTGAAAGACTTCAAGTACTGGTTTTCCACCCGCTTTCAGAAGCGCTGCTGTATCCATCGTCGCAAGGAGCCTTGTCGTATTTTGAGGTGCTGGAGAGCTATTATAATCTCGCTCAGACGTGAGACCGGGATATCATTGCAATAGTGTTGGAAGACTTGCTCTTGGATTGTTCCTCAGGCTACGTGTGGCTACAACGATGACGTGTACAGCTGCCCGTAGAACCTCTCAATCTCACATAAAATCTCTGGTGTCCAAAAAACGATGCTACGATGACAACTGAAGGATTCCTCCGAGAGAAAGAAAGGATCTCGAGTGGCAGTCTCATACATACTGGTTGAGCGAATTATATGGCGGCCCCCCACTAGATGGAGTGTTGACCTGGCAAAATGTGCAGGAAGTCGACAGTTGTAGGTGGCTTAGGACCGTGTTTTGTGGCATTTTTTGGGGTGGCCTATATTCAGCAGTGGACTTGTGAGGGTTGTAATGATGATGATTTGATGATGTCTCCTTTAATATCTACATACATAGTTTGATCAATCGCTTTGTGGTTTTAAGTTTTTCGTGTTCTGAATATCAAGGACTTGCACATTTTTTCTATAAGAGTAGTCTCTTGTCAAAGTACAACCCAAAATTGATTTTAATCCTACCCGGGTTTCGAATCCGGGACCGCGTAACCAGCAATCGCGCTTACAGCCACTAGATCAATAAGGCAATTACAAAACAGCGAAGCATAATTTACTCTTATACTTATAGTCTTTATTGCAAACCCGGGCTGTCTTTTTTTCTCTAATAGTCAACACAAGGAGTGATGAACTTGAGATGTGACACGCAGACAAAATAATTCTTCTTTACTTAATTAATGAAGACTTGGACACTGCATGAGGATTTTAAGTGTTACATGCTTTTAATATGCAATCATGAAGCAGTTACAACATGTATTATCGTTCGGTCTGTCTTTACTTGTTGGCTAACGAAACATCGATTTATATTATGTTCCTTGGTTACGCTGCGCACCGGAATGCGTTGCCGGGTTAATCAAAACGCCTACGTATAGATATAGATATAGGTTGTTCAGTGTGTGGACAGCTTGTGAGCTCTGTTTTCGGACTATGTAGTTGATTATTAAGTTGAGAATCTTGGCGTCCAGTCTCAATTCAACTTGAAACAAAAATAGTCAGCCTTCAGGGAAGACTTGTAATATTGTAGTTATTTACGTATGTTTGCATAAAGATGACTTCCGCTAACAGCGTGTCGCTTTCTTCCTTGCTCTAAAAGCCTCTCAGAGACGAGGATAGGAGGCATATGCATGGCATGGCATGTGCATATATGCTTGCTCCTCTGTAAAAAAAACTTTTACGCAATTCTGACATTACATCCACTGCCAATTTTATTTGACATGACGACCAGTGAGTAACTCTGAATTTGCGTATGTAGGTGACCACTACTCCATGTTATCTCGTGACCTAGGTATCGTAAGAGGCGACGAAGGAAAGTGAAACAGGAGATTGGCTGTAGCATCTTTCTGGTAACAACTCAAAACAATAAAAACATGCGATTGAAAAAAGCATCTTTAATTGGACCTTGAAATATATCCCGGACATCCTCTGCAATGTCAACAATATCCATACTCCTTATATCGGCAACATAAACTAACGTATTCATATTGTTTACAAACGGTTAAGATAAAGAAGCTATACGAATTCACTAACATTCCTTACTTCATCACTGCATTCAAACACTCGGAATATTGTAGTTGGTTCGGAACACGACACCAATTTCCTGCACCGGGTCGCTGTCGCATAGGCGTCATCGTATAACCGATTTGCATAATTAAATAATATTATGCATTCATTCGCCGAGGTCGCCCCTACGATGAGCCGCGCAACGGAACGAGTTGAAAAATTACAAAAAGAAATTAACATTTTACTGTCGAATTCGTTGCAATGGCCTTATGTTTAAGCGAAAGCTTGAAATGAAACGCTTCGTGTCAGTTCTGTTATCCAAAAAAACTCTCGTAAATGTTTATTGATGTTTATTTCGCATCGTAATAAGTGAATTACACAAACGAGGATAGTAAATAATGAGAAAGAGGATAAAATAAACATTTATTAAATCAAAAAATATTTTAGAAAGAACAAAGGGATCGAAACATAATTGACCTGACAGTCCAATCCCGGCGCATTTCCTTATACAGCCGCAAAGAGGGAAAAACTGCTCTGGACGGGTATTAATGCCTGAGAACTTCCAAATTAATCCCCTCGAGGTGCACGTCGGTAAGAGCAAAGAGTAAACAGTTAACGCGATCGCAGAAACATCGGTGCAGTTCGCGAAATCCGAGAACAGCCGAGCGGTCCCGAGGTGCGAGAAAAGCGAAACCTCCCCAGCTTTCCCCCTTACCGGGTGCTGGGGTCTTTGTCCCCGCGCGACCCAGTTAATGACCGCCCCCGCAGACGCTAGCCCCGTTCCGATATAAATAAGCCTACTACACTTGACCTCCAAAGTTTTTATTGGAAAGCACGTGCCGCTATCGAGACCGTGTGTTGTAAACAATACTACTGCCGCATACGTTATACACACTTCAAAACTTTACTCGACTTTATTTTTCCTATACTCTATAATTCCATCAAAGATACGAAATAATGGAGAACGCAAATCAAATGTCAGAGAAATTTGTTTTTATTCAACCGACGCTGTATGTGGCGATCAGATAACATGTACATCAATACTATTTACAGAGCACTAAAATGTTCTCAGCCTCGCAATCTAAAAGGCATAATACATATTTGTAACTGTATATTTCTCATTACTATCTTAACCTTGCTTTGTAATCTTCCGCGTATCTAGTGAAGGTCGGATCACCTTCTGACACCTCTTGTCTACTGGGGACAACGCTCAAGGCAAACGCTTTGAAATTACATTAATGTACCGAAATTCCGATAGTTACAAAAATCACAACTCCGAATCACACTAATCGAACTCAATAATAATTCGGAAGGGTAATGAGATCGGTATGCGAGTGAACTGACTGGAACAGAAGCAACAGGTCGCGAAATGGAATAATTGTCGGACGATCGTCCACGTGATCCACGTCGCCCGGCGCAACCTACGCCGCAGTGCTATGACCGCGCCCTAAATTTATTCAGTCTTCATTCATTGTTCCTTTATTACGTGTCTTGTGATTGCGATGCCATAATAACATATTAAATGGTGTTGACTGTAATAGTTTTACTGCCCTCTGAGCAAAACTACTGTACCGCTGTAATAGAAGCAATTTTCGGACTGCACGTTGACTCTGTAGAAAATTTTAATGTCGCCGGTGTATTTTAAGACAGAGACGAAAGATGTTTAGTAAATAAGTTAACTTAGTAAACATAAACCATATTATTTAAATCTATTAACCAATTACGAGCATTGGACAAATATATTTAGTATTTACTTCTACTTATGTGCATCATAATAGCTAATAAATAATAATGTCCTCCAGACCGAGGTTTGATCACGACCGCTAGTTTCAACCTAGAAATCTAGAAACCTGCACAGGATAAGCTTATAGAACCAGAGTGTATGCACAACCACAAGTGCACTCTCTTTTCCCGCACTCTCATAGTCCGATGGGACAGTTATTCGACACGACCGGATAGTGATAAAGAGGTTTACGTGTTTTCCGAGGCATAGGGGTGAAACACCGCCAACTTCCTGGCTTCTGGCTGCTTCTGAGAATTTTGACCAGGGATTTGAACCCAGGACCTCATGATCGGCAATCTTTTTTTATTTACGACCATTAAGATCAACGGAGCAGTAAGTAATGCATAACACAATAAAAATATACTTCTACAACCTCAAATATATTAAAGCACTGAAGTCTATCAGTACTATTTAAAAAAAATTAAAGCTATTTATTAAATATGAATTAAGTAGAAGACGGAAATACAATTAAAAAGTGTGAAATATTTAAGAGATATACAACGCACTTTTAAAGCACAAATAAATCCAACGAAGATAATATCACTATTTAAAACAAACTAGCTATCTACCTGGTGATATCTGGATCCAACAACAGCGTAACCTACCGGATTAACTATGCTTATAACCTTTGCGAAAGTGCAAGCAATATGTTAACAAAGTTTTACCGCTATCTAACGAACGGTAAGGCAAGGCATAAAAAACACAAACAATTTTTTATATATCATATATACAAAGACACTTGCAAATACTTTGAATTCATTACTGAAGCTCTCATGTTCGTACAATAAATATGTTTCAGATTTTCATAGCAATTTAAACATCTCGGAAAGTGTGACTAGAAACTTGACTTCAACAGTTGACTAACAAAGACCAGTTAAGACTGAGCTCTTGCGAGCTAAATAATTCAATGGCTCTAACGGGATCAAGAAGTCCTTCAGCAATAGTGCAGGTACCAATAGAAACTTACGTCTAGAGCAGCGGTACTCTAAGTTTGTTCCGCGGAACCCTAGGGACCCTGTAGGGGTTCCGCAAGAATTTAGAAAAAAAATCAAAACACCTCTCTCTGGTCGAACGTTTTGACTCCGCCCGCCGCGCGTATACTTGTGAGCGCGCAGTCCCTTTGATAAAAGCCGCCTCTGAATTAGACACTATAGTTGTGAACAAGCGACTTTCGGCTCTATCTTTAAAAACATAAAGTCGAGATTGTTTACAATGCATTTTTTTTATATTTCTATTTTTATTTCCGCTTTTTGTTTACCAAAGGCGCCGACTCGAGTATTCTTGAGAATGTTCGAGTTCGAGTCTAGGACTAAGTATAAAAGCGGCGATCGCGCGTCGCGCCTCGTCAGTTAGTTGACGATTAGCGTTCGGAGCGATAAGTTCCTACCTACCTACTTACAAGCTGGCTAGCGAATTGCGGAGTTTAAACGTGATATGAAAGTAGTGTTCATTGTTCTACTGCCTGCTGTATTCTGATTGTATCAGTTATTTCTTCTTTGGACTAAACTTTGTCTCATAAACGCAGTAACGATTGTGCATTATTTTGACCCCGCCATCCTGACGTGTAACATTATTAATAAAGAAGAATAGAACGTTGGCTTAAAGGCGTTAAACGTGTTGCAATAACATCTAATGACGCTGAATGGTCAAAAGAAGTACGCGTGGAGAATACAGCAATTACCGATCCAGACGATGATGCCACGACGTTCAGCTCCACGGTTTCAAAGACGAAAAAAAGGAAGTATGATGAATCATATATCAGTTTCGGATTTGTTGATTTCAACGGCTCACCTCTCTGCATGTTATGTAGTAAACTGCTTCCTAATAGTTCCACGGCACCTGCCAAATTGCGCAGACATTTAGAAACTGTACACCCCGAGTCTAAAGACAAGAATAAAGAATTTTTTGTTCGTAAAAAAGAACAGTTATTGGAAAGTCAAAAAAATATGATGCATGTAACACAAACTATCAATGAAAAGGCCACGGAGGCATCATATTTAGTTAGCTATCGCATTGCACAAGCAGGTGAAGCGCACACTATCGCTGAGAATTTAATAAAGCCATGTGTGTTAGACATAACAAAATGTATGCTCGATGAAAAATCTGCAAAGCATCTTTCTACTGTACCGCTATCAAACGATACTGTTTCACGGCGAATCCATGATCTGCCAAGCTACGTCAAACAAGAACTAGTTGCACGTCTACAAAAACACGATTCGCCTTGCAAATGGATGAGTCAACTGTCACTGGTCAGGCTATCTTGCTCGTCGTTATCGTAAGATATCCATATGAACGTTCTTTTGAAGAAGACATGCTTATGTGTTCACCGCTGCCCTATTAGTTGGAACGATTGCATTGACATTTGTACAGATGGGGCCAAAGCGATGACATGTAAAACAGCAGAAACAGTATCACGAATAAAAAGTAAAGCGCCTAATTGTAGTTCCAGCCATTGTATTCTGCATAGACAAGCACTTGCGATGAAGCAAATGCCGTCAAATCTAAAATTAGTTATGGATGAAGCGGTAAAAATAATTAATTTTATCAAATCACGACCACTACAATCCCGATTGTTCTCATTATTGTGTGAATATTGTGGCAGCAAACATAAAACACTGCTGCTCCATACAGAAGTGCGATGGCTGTCTCGGGGTAAAACTTTAACAAGGCTATTTGAACTTAGAACCGAGTTACAAATGTTTCTTTCAGCAGATACAGTTTCTTTTAATTTGAAAGACCGTTTGTATGATAAAACTTGGTTGTTCCGATTGTCTTTTATGGCGGATATCTTTCAAAAACTGAACGAATTGAATTTATCATTGCAAGGTAAACAGACAACAGTGTTCCAGGCCTATAACAAAATAACTGCATTCAAAAGAAAATGAGATTTTTGGATTATTTGCGTTGGTAAGAGAGAAATAGAAAGCTTTACATCACTCTGTGAGTTTGTTAGCGATAACGACTCAGAAATGTTTCAAGGTGATGTGTTTGAAGAATTGGTCCAATATCTCACTGAGATGCGCGCATCTTTTGAAAAGTATTAAGTTATTAATTATAAAAGAAGAAGTTATTAATTATAAAAGTATAAAGAACAGAATACAAAAATGAAGCTGAATTCATGGATACATAATCCTTTTTTACCCAACTAGCAAAAGCCCGAAAGTATGTGAAACGAGATATATGAATCTCTTTTAGAAATGTCATCAGACACAAGTATAGAGTCACTGTTCAAAATGACGCCTCTCAACGATTTTTGGTACAGAATCCGTGATGAATATTCAATGCTTGGCAGAATGGCTTTGAATATTCTTCTTCCGTTCCCAACAACATATTTGTGGGAAACAGGATTCTCTACCTATGCAGCCACGAAAACAAAATATCGCAATAGACTGGACGCCGAACCTGATATGAGACTTCAAATGTCTTCTATCAAACCTGATATCAACCAATTGATGAAAAACAAAAAACAGTTTAATACCTCCCATTAGTTATGATTTTTTTTCATTTTTAATATCTTCTATTATTGTACTTGTCATGTGGTAAAGTAAGTAATAATTAGTAACTGTTAGATTGTACTTTTATTATGCTTATATAATAAAGAATACACTTTTAAAAACTATTGTTTTATTGTAGGGTTCCGTCAAGTATTTTGCTTGTCAAAAGGGTTCCGTGACCAAAAAAGTTTGAGAACCGTTGGTCTAGAGCTATAGCTGCATAAACGCCGATCCGCCAATCGCCGACGGCATTGGTCTGAGGTAAGCGCTGCAGTATCCTTTGTTTCGTTGCGGAACAAAGTTTGCTAACCAATGCAACGAGTGTCTTCTAATATTGGAGCTTGGCTAACTACAGGGGAAAGTTTGTTGTTGGCTCAAAATCTAGTACAATTACAGAACATTGAAATCAATTCCTAGATATTAGTACCCTAAATGTCTATACCTATATTTAATCCAAAAAAATACATTAATTTTGTTATTTGTTGAAATATTAAGTAGGAAAGTTGTTATTATTATAAAAATTAAAACTTAGTTGAAATATGAAATAATAACACTTTCCTGATATACAAAGTACTATAAATGTTATCATTCCGATTTTTTAAAGATATTGTATATATTGAGAAATTCGTCAACTATTTCTCCTCACCAGCAAAAGAATAGATTACAAAAGAGGCGTCACCGAATCTGTGCTTACACTGAATTAAGCATGAGTTCTTCATGAGAAAGGTTGGACCAATTTTTAAAATATACATTTCACCCATAATTTTACAACCGCTACGAGCTTACGACGGCGTAACTTAGAATATCGTTTGACTACTAAGATTTTGGAACCACGTAGTGTGGGGATTGGGGAAGTTAGCGGAAAGTTTTGTAACGGGTTTTGATATAGATATTAGTTACTCATATTACCTTGCATATGCACGAGTATATAAATATACTCGTGAAACTGATATGAAAAAAATTGTTTTCTAAAATTTTTTATTAATTATAAGGTTAAAATAATGGATTCAAGTATTTCCTAATAGTTCATATTTTTGTATAGAAGTTAACGAATTTATAGTAGATCTTAAGTGAACGTAAACGTGTCAAGATGACTTTAATATTAGAATTATCACAAAATGTCTGACATCACCCTAGATTCTATACAGTTTGTTAGTTTCTACCAAGTTTTTCAAGTTTTATTTTTAAAAAACAGAAGCGTTTATTTTTAATGATCGAAATATGTCAGAAAATTTGTCCACTAAATATACAGGAAATTGTTAAACATTTAACCCAAGTGTCCTCACGGTCTTTCAGTATGTCTGTCATTGGATTTTGATCAAATCTGAAGACAAACAAAATTGGACGGAACATCAAATATTGAACTTCATTAACATTCTAAATCTCTACAAACGTGAAATAGGATAAGAAAACGATTAACCGGAATTATTTACGCGCCGCGGTGCGGGTATTATAATCACTCACAAATTACATACACGGAAGATGTTATCGCAGCATCTAATTCGTAAAAATGAAGCTATCTTGGTTAAATGACAAGGGTTATTATAGTTGAAAAGACTATTTTTTTTTCTAACTGAAATCATTCACAGAGGGTAAACACAAACTAAAAGAATTTCATGTTCTTTTGTAAAGAAATCGAAAATTAATTAGATAAGATTATGTAAACAAGTATAAAGAAAAACGTGTTCAACCAGTGCGTGTTGTTGTTCGAGCAACCTTAAGATAGCTGAACGAGCTATGAGCCTATGAGGACGGCTACGCTCTGAGTTTTTCTGCGTTATAGAGTATTCGTAATAAAGACATTCGCTGTAGAACCAGAATAACAGACATAACCCAAGTGGGGCCGGCCATATAGTTTAAACAACCGAAAACCGATGGAGATGAAAGTTTTTCGAGTGACAGTCTCGTACCGGTAAACAAAGTGTATTGCGGCTCCCCACTAGATAGAATAACCTAGTAGAGTTATCCATGCTAGTGGTAAGAGATACCCTGTTCTATAACATTCCCAGGGGGAAATCTATGTTCAGCAGTGGGCTTGTGAAAGGCTGCAATGATATAATGTTGGAATACCGATGGAGAAAATGAAGCGTTAATATCTTTTGCCAGATACCCGTGACGCCCATCAAAAACTTTATTGGCATATTCCTTCGGTACTGTATTATGGCAGCAGTTTATATACTGCTGTGTTTGTGAGTAAACAAAGGTGAGTAAGCAACACAAAGAGGCGTTACGTTAGTCCTCAGTGGTGATAACGTATCTTGCATCCATTTCTATGTGCCACAACAATCACATGCTATCGGATGAACTGTGTGCTCGCTTTTGTCTATAAAAATAAACTTTTAGATTTGTGGTATCATAATATCCTGTGCAGCTGGAAGCTTTCGTTGGAATTATATGTTTACCATGACTGTAATAGGTCAGGATCTATACCTGCATAAAAATAAAGAGTTTTTAGAAACTATGAACTATACTGTACGCCGTGAATGTAGTAATATCGGTAGAAGTAAAATCTCTGGGGCACAGAAAAAGTTCGCCGTCTTACTGATGGTAACAAACCTGCGACTTTACGATGCCATGTACGTCAACGTTGCACAAACAATGCCACGGGAGACGTTGTAAGGTTGTAACACGAGAGCCACCGAGTAATTTGTACGCAGTAAATAATAATTTCGACCAATACTTAGGCCTTATTAACAATGCCGTCAGTAAATAGCGTGTTCGAGGAAATGAGGTATTGTGTTGTATTTTATACAGGTACAAAATGTGGGGCGCAGTTGGACAAAAGTCCTTGTTTTTGTGTGTAGATGTGTGTAAAACAAGATTGGTGTTCAAATTTTAATTAAAATATTTACTTTATTGATTCAAATATGAGTTTTTATTACATCTAAAAGTGAAAATGAAAGCGAATCAAGATTCGAAAAAGAACTTTTTTAAATCTAATTCTATAAAGAAAACTGAAAAAAGTCTAAGTAATAAGACATCATCACATCATCTAACGAAACAAGAAATTAAAATACATTTGAAGGCTTATACATTTAAAGTCGATTAAGAAGATCGTCTGTTGACATGACAGATACCAATATGGCTGAAAGAACTTAACATAAGCAAGGAATTCAAGCGCAGCCGCTCATTTACCGCCTTCCGTCGATATACACACGAGACATAAAATTACTTTCGAGGTTTTAATGAATAAATTAATGGTAATTTAACCGTCGTTTATCGTAATAATTATATGTAATAAATATCTCTTTTATTGGGAGCCCATAAGCACTTTGTTAAGTCGCTGCTTATTATCGATTGACTAGTGCGGCCTTAACCATAAAAATTTACGTCAATTTGAGAAATGCTCAAAGTTGCTCTCTCTCTCTCTCTCTCTCTCTCTCTCTCTCTCTCTCTCTCTCTCTCTCTCTCTCTCTCTCTCTCTCTCTACTAAATGACAACATGTATAGAGATAACTAATTCATTAAATTATACAATTATCATTTTAAGTTTTTAAGTATCACGACAGGAAACGAAGTGGGCGACGGTTTTAAATTTTGTTTGGAAATATTGGACATGGCATTGTGACGTTTCAATAGAAACTGCCTCTCATTTCATTAGCCTGAACAGTCCACAGTAGAGTAAACATGGCGCTCTCATTTAAAGAGTTGCGATTCGCATGTTAAATGTAAACATCTTTGATACTTGCTCCTCGTCTTTATTCCGGTGAATTTATATCGGCATATAAATACGGAATGGAGTAGAACCGTCATACGGGACGTAAGTAATTGAACGGTGATTAATAT